AAGAGGAGTGAGGGAAGTGAGGACGAGGGCAAACAAAGGTAACAATTTGATGACCTGGTCCAGCCAGGTTCCCCGCCAACTACCCCCACCCCCGCAGCCTGCAAAGCCAGCCTGAGCCTCAGCTCATGAAGTTGCCTGTTGCTCAATCCCTCTATTCTACCTGAGGACAAAGGGGACTTCAGAGACTTGTCTTAGCCTAGAGGTGATGGGTCCAGATTGGCCCATGGGGGTGGAGCACTGCCTACAGCAGGCCTGCTGTGCTGGCTCCAACTACAAGCAGACTGCGAAATCATGGGGGAGGGAGAGGAAAAGCACAAAGCCTTTATTTCTTCACACTCTAGTCTTGGGGGCAATGAAGTGGAGAGAAGGAGGAAGTAAGAAATAGCAGGAACAAGAAATCCTTGATCCCTCTCCTGGATTCCTAGCCTTTTTTTGGTAAAATGTTAGCAGAGGGCATGGAATTGATTTAATCAGATGCTCCTCTATTGGCAGGTGTTTACAACAGGCTAGAACCCAGAAGTGATGGGGGAAGCATGGCTGGCACATAACAGGAAGGTGCCCTGGGCCCTCTTCTTTGCTAGGGAGCCAGCTTAAGGCCCATCGCACATTTTCAACTTCTGATTTTTTTTTTTTTTTTTTAATGCACCAGCTAACTGCTTTACAGGGTAATGTCTTGTTTCTGCAAGAGGTTTCTGATACTTTAATAACTTTAGAATCTCCAAAGGGCTGGCATCATGCATTCATCCATCCAAATACTTACTGAGGGTATGCTACACACCAGACACTATTCTAAGGCCAAACCCACACTCTCAATGTGTTTCCCTCCAAGTGTTGAGAGGCAGAAAATGCACAATTTAAGCAAGTGACCATGTATGTCAATCTGTACAAGTTTTATGAAGAAAAATCAAGTCAGCTAAGGTGACAGAAGAAATGAGGGTCCCAAGATGAATGCTTCCTGGAGGAAGGGCCTTCTAGGCAGAGGGAACAGTAAGAGCAAAGGCCAAGAGGCCTTTGCCTTCCGGGGAAGGAGCCAGTGGGGCTGGAGCCCAGGGACAGAGAAGGAAGAGGATGTAAGAAATGAGGGTCTGGGGATGTGAGGAGTCAGAGCCTCAAGCGTCTCAAAAGCCATGGTGATGATTTTGATTTTAATGAATGAAAAATACTGAAGGGCTCTGAACAAAAGTGACATGACTTGGATTTGGGTTAACGAAAGTCAGATCCTTCTCTATGCTGCTTAAATAACAACCCAGGGAAGGCAGGATGGGTGAAAGCAGAGGCCTGGGCAGGTGTCTCCTGCAGTGGTGCTAATGGGGGAATCTTAGCAGGTAGAACTGCCAGTGTCTGGAGATGGATGGAACACAGGTATGAGAGATGGAAAGGCAAGAGGGATGGCTGTGAGGCCCAAGCAACTACAGCCATGGTCCCTGGGATGGGGAAGACCAAGGAGGAAGCAGGGTTGTGAAAGGAAGCCAAGGACTCAGTCTTGGTCTTTGTAAGTTTGAGATACCAGAGGTCAGGCTGAATAGATAGCTAGATGCAAATATCTGGATTGAAAATAGGACCAACCTAGGGATATAATTCGGGAATCACCAATATACACAGGGTATCAAAGCCACAAGACTGGAAGGGATTAACTATGAAATTACCAAGTTCTCTTTTATAAACAACATATGGTATGTACTCTCTGCCAGCATTGTGCGAAGTTCTTTACAGCTATTAACTCACTTAATCTTTCTCACTATTAACTCACTTAATCTTTCTTGCCACCCTCAAGTCTTGCCACCCTCAATGAGTGTGCATATCCTCATTTCACTGATATGCACATGGACGCACGGAGACTTTTAAGTATCTTGCTCAAGGTTAGTAGGAGAGAGAAGAGGCCCTGGGGAGAAGAGAGGCTGTAGGCTTGAGCTCTGGGTGCTCCGGGGTTAGGAGGTGAGGGAGGTGAGGAGGAACAAGCTGGAGACTACAAGCAGCAACAGGTGAGGAGAGAAGAAACCAGGGGGTTTGGTGTTCCCAAAGCCAAGCCAGTCGAGGGTACCCGGAAGGGAAGGTAGATCAACCGTGTTAGAAGACACTGACATGTCAGGAGGTCAGAACTAACCACTGGATAGAAAAGTACCATCTTTTTTTTCCCACTAGCCTGGTTTTGAAATTAACTTCCTCCCATTTTTGAATGCAGGCAACAAATCCCAGGTGTCTGCACAGTAGCTGAGACTCTGTCACCAGCAGAACCCCCAAACATTTTCATTGTTGGTGAGGAAGTACTATTTCTGGCCATCTTTGCTCCCAGATGACAGTAGTTCCTAGACCTTGTTATTTAATGTGTTAATAAAGAAGTACCCATGCTATGAAACCATGCATTTTAAGAATTCTGATCATTCTACTGCTATAGAATTATTTTCCCTATGTCCTCCTGCATATTTTATTTAATGCATTTAACATATTAATCTGAGAAATGGGTCCATGAGCCATGAAATGGTTAAAGACTATCTCAATATTAACCACAAAGGAGCAAGCAAAAGCCAGTGCAGGTAGAGGAACAGCCTTCCTAACCTAGGGCACCAGTGTGGCACTCAGCCCAGTGTTCAACAAATGAAGGGACAAAGACACTTTGTGGTGACTGTGGCTGGGGTAGATGAGGCTGTTACCACAGCTCACACTCGCCGAGGATGCCACAAAGGAAGGCGATGTCTCTGCATCTGTGCAGCAACCAGAACATGCCCAGCCAAGGTCCCGGGGTGGCGGGGGGGAATCCCCCTTCTCTCTGCAGGGGTTTCACTTGTGGTGGCTCCCCTGCTCTCACCACCCCCTTTCCTTTCCTTCCATCTGTCATTTGGACTGCTCTGTGCCAGGCTGCCCTGCTGTTTCCTTGCCAGAGCTCTGTTCTGCTTTCATTTTGGGAACGACAGAAGGTCCTCTCTATCTTACCTCTCCAATATCTGACCCCCTAGACATCGCCAGGAAAAATAGAGGAATTAATAGCGGAGTCACCACTCCCAGCTTTGGCAAAATCAGCAAGAGACCCCAGCACAGAAGCCCATAGCCTCATTAGTCAGAAAAGTCCCCCATCGGTAGAATGAGGGCCCTCCCGGAGGTTCAGCTCTGAGGTAGTTAGGAGAGTCAATGAGCTGGCAGCCGTGACGCACTTAGAACAGTGGCCAGAACACGGTAAACACCGTACACATTGTTCAAAAAAGACAATCTTGCCTTTTCTCTTTCTTCCCCACTGAAAAAAGCGGCAAGTAAAATGCATCTGAAATCTCATGAATTCATTGCTAACCAACATAGCATTTAAGAGTAAGTGACATTAATCGGAAAAACATTGCTATTATGGAATGCTCACAGTCATTCTTAAATTTGAAAATAAAAAGATAGCTATGTTAATGACAAGATGGCAGCCCAGCTCTCCCAGCCTGGTACCTACAGCAGTCGGACATCGAGATCGTGATGTGATGGCCGCTGACACAACATCACGTCCTCTAGCAAACCTAGCATCCCTGGACCTTGCATATGGGATGGTGGGGGGAAGGGGATACTGCCACTGGTGTCCATCACCTGCAGAGTTTGGGGACTATCTGCAGTGCTATGTTCCCTGGATGGAGGAGAAATCAGCCACTGAAGCTCTCTTCTTTGCCCTTTGACACCAACCTGGACTCCCACTTCAAGCTCAACAACGCAAGGGGGAAAGGGAAATCCCCTGACTAAAGGTCCACTTCCATTGAGTTTGGCGCTATTCTGAGTGTGAGGTGGAGAGTCTTTAATCAAAAATCACTGCACGTTTGTTCAGTTGATGGAGAAAAAAGTCAGGCACTGAGGTCCAGGGAAATCAGACAGAATGCCTGGGTGCTACCCCAAGAAGCATGGGGACCATCTGGTCTACCCCCTGGCTTTTTTTTTTTTTTTTTTTTTTCATATAGAGAAGGGAAGGAAATGGAGGGCATGTGGCATTTTCACAGCTAAGGGGGAATACGGTTCCTCCAGAAACACAGGAAAGTTAAGCCACTGCCTTCCAGCTGCAAAGTGCCTCCTTCAATTGCCTACTCTCCCTGCAATCTAGGGCAGGGAACAAGTTGGGCTGGTTTGAAACTTGCCTGGGCAACCAGCACCACCTGATTCCCCTGGCCTTGCAGGATTCCTGCCTGTCTCGTGACTCGTGAGCAAAAGCCACTCCGTGAAGCTCACCTTCACACTGCATCAGGCTCCCTCGACCCATTTCCTGGGAAAAGAGGGGAAAGCTAAGAATGACCCTGGGTTCTCAGGCACCTGGTGTCTGCATCATTTTTGTAGTGACTATATTCTGTTGCCTTTGCTAGCAATGAATTGCAGTATCCAGGAGCTAAGATGCGGTTGGAGTGACCTCCTCCAGCCTACCACCCCCACCCACCCTGACCTCTGCACTCCCATTTCCCCGATAAAGACCTGTCCCTTACAGTTTACTCAGATCAGGTGCGACATGAACACAACACGTTGAGCTTAACAAGCATCACATGTTGCCCCCCATGTTTCTTAGTTATTTACAACCACATCCCAACTCTAACACACTGGGTCATATCTTAGACTAATGGCTATGGTTAAGAACTGGGTATTTTTCTGACCTGAGAACGCAAAATGAGTCCATCCTCCTTAGGACGCCCCTTTAAGCCTTCTGGAGACTGACACGGGCTACACTGAATTCTATTTTGCACGCGGAGGATCCTGCTGCGTTATTGTTTCCAACACTGTGAGTAGGTGGATACGACAGACAGAACTTTAGGTTTCCGGGTTCTGGTGCCAGGAGGCATTGAGAGTGTGTCAAGTTCAAGTGCCTTCAAAGTGATTAAAATAGACAGACAACTGGTTCCTGGGCCACTCCCACCTCCTACAGAGAGCTTCATCGGGACAGGCCACCACACTCCCAGTTCCCAAACTTCTGAGAAGCCACCGAGACGGCAGTCCTCGTAGCTGCTAGGGTCCACTTAGCCCCCATCTGACGCCCGGCACCTGATCGTCTCTGTCACCTGTGGGCTTTGCTGGGCTCCAGTCCATTCTCCAGGCTGACATCTGTCTGCACCATCTCCTGTTTCAGTTCTCCGATCTCCGAGACGATTGTGTCAATGAGCTATTCAAAGACAAAATAGTGTGACGTCAGGCAGTGGAAGAGGCGTGCCCAGAGCCCGGGAGCTTCAGCCGCTTCCATAGGAGCGCAGAGAAGACCACCTCTTTTTTTTTTTTTTTTTTTTTTTAAATCCCGGCTGTGTGAATTTCCTCTGCCCAGAGGAAAGAAAATAAAGAGGGTGGGAGCAGCTTTTTCTTAAAAAAAAAAAAAAAGAAAAGAAAAAAAGAGGAAGAACTTAGGTTTCGGTACTGCCCTAAGAAAAAGGATATGACACCCAGTTTGGTTTCTCAACATGAATACAAAGAGGAATAAACAAATCCTGGTAAAAACCAGGCTTCCACATTCATTTTGTCAAAGTCAAAACTCAAGAGGAATTCCCTGAATTAAAATTTATACAATCATGGCTCTGGCTACAGAAATAAGCATTTTTTTTGTTTTTTGTAAAGATTTTAGTTATTTGAGAGAGAGCATAAGCAGGGGCGGGTGGGGGGAGAAGGGCAGAGGGAGAGGGAGAAGCAGACTCCCTGCTGAGTGGAGGGGCCGATGCAGGGCTCCATCCCAGGGCCCTGAGATCATGACCTGAGCCGAAGGCAGATGCTTAACTGACTAAGCCACCCAGGCACCCCAGAAATAAGAATATCTAAAAGACATATATAGTTTGCAATCAATTTCTAGACATTAAGTTACTCATCCTATTCTTTGCTTTTTATTTATTTATTTTTTTAATAAAGAAGACTGTTCGGGCAAAGGGAAGAGAGAGGGAGATGTGCCCTCCTCTTGCAGAAGGTTCATGTGTGCTTGTATCTTCTATCCACACACTTGAGGAGAGCCTACATCAGCCCCCGAAGGCTGGCCTAAACTCTTGAACCCACCGAACCCCTCAGCCAACAGAATCCTTCCCGGTGCTAACTAGGCACTCTCTGTATCCAGCCCTGTTCTCATAGTATGTCACTGCTCATTAATTTTTAAAAATTATAGGTTTTTTTACATATTATTTACGTCATGTAATAGATTCAATAGTTTCAAAAGAAATATTTTTCAAAAAATTTCTCCATTTTAGGGGCACCTAGGTGGCTCAGTGGGTTAAGTTTCTGCCTTCAGCTCAAGTCATGGTCTCAGGATCCTGGGGTCAAGCCCCTTATCGGGCTCGCTGCTCAGCGGGGAGCCTGCTCCACCCCCCCTCTCTGCCTGCCTCTCTGCCTACTTGTGACCTCTCTCTCTGTCAAATAAATAAATAAAATCTTTTAAAAACTTCTCCATTTTAATTCCCAACACAGCAAGCATCTATAGTTATAATCCAAATGAACACAAGCTCTTTGGGGCCCTCCATAATTATTAATAGGATAAAGGGATCCCAGGGCTCTAAACTCTGACAATCACTATTCTAGCTAAAGATAAGTGTTGTCTTTTCTCAGCAGATTTATCCCACCCGAGCACTGGCCGAAACTTCATCTAAGCTTACAGGCTGTTCTAAACTTTGACCCCATCTATTCATTCAGTAATTCAACAAACCTTTATGGGCACTTACTTCATGGCAGGTGCTAAAAGCATGAAAGTGGACAGTTCCCACAGAGATGATATTCTGGTAGAGCACAGACCACAGCCCTGAATACTGAGAAGTGCCAGGTTGAAAACAGAACTGGGTGATGCTGGAGGGGGCAGCTAAGTGGCCACCACTCTAGGTAGGATGGGCTGGTGAGGGTGGATCTTGGAGGAAGTGATGGAACCCTGAAGGAGGGAGCCATGAAGAGATCAAGGGGAGATCCCTCCATACAGAGAAAGTCGCAGAGGCTGGGGAAGCACGTGTCAGGAGAGGAAGGACCGGAGCTCACTGGCATTCTAGATCACAGTACCCATACATTTGAATTTTCTACACGAAGAACCATGAAAGGGCTTTAGGAGGGGAAGAAACTTCGTTTGTTTTACGTTCTAAAAAGATCACTTTGGCTGTTGGCTAGAGGAGAAGCGGCAAGACCAGTCTGGAGGCAACCAGTTTAGATACAGGCAAGAGAGGTCCAGTGGCTTGGACCAAGGTGGTAGCAGAGGCATTCAAAAGAAGGGGGGATATCCAAGAACAATTTAACACAGAAATTGATAGACATTGGTGGACCTGATGTAGGAGTAGTAGGAAGAGAAGACTCAACAGAACTCCTAAGATTTTGACTTGATTATCAGATAGAGGACAGTGCCCTTGACTGACATGAGGAAGAGTCAGGTTTGAGGAAGAAATCGAGTTGGATATTAGGTCAGTTATGTCTTGATTTTCTTATTGGCCATTAAATAAATTTGGTATGTAGTTTTTGGCATTCAGTATGGAGATATTTATACATTTGGGTCAATGACATATGTGCTGGCATCCCAAAGCCCTGTCAGAGGGAGAGATGATCTGAGGGGAAAGTGGACATGGAGAAGGAGTCCCTGAAAATAGCTCTGCATGCTCCCAATGCTTGGAGGTCAGAAGAAGGGAAACCAGCCAGATCCTCCATGCTTAAGCCATTCTTGCTGTGTGTGCCTGGGATGCAAGCTGTAGGTGAACATTCTAGAAGCATTGAGGACCCGGAAGAGAAAATGACCAGGTTATCCTTTTTATATATATACCCCACTGGCAAAAATTTAAAAGCCTGATAATATTTGAGAATATGGGAAAACAGGAACCCCAAGTCCTGCTAGAGGAGTCTTATTTGCAGAGCCCACTTTGAAGAGCAATATGGCAACATCTTAGAGAGTCAGAGACACACAGACGTCCTAGATATGCACTCTAGAGAAATCCAGGCACATGGGTGCGAGGAGACTTTTATGAGAATATTTGCTGCACCATTATTTGTAAGAAAACTAAATTATAAGCACTTAAATGCCCATCAATAAGAGAATGGGTAAACTGAGGTATAGAATACTATTCAGCAGTTAAAATTAATGAACCAGAGCTATCAGTATCAACACATATAAACAGAAATGCTCAAAAGCTTCTCATAAAAGCAAAAAAAAAACAAACTTGAAAAGGGTTACATTCAGTATATAAAGTTTAAAGCCATTCAAAACTGTACAATACTATAGTGTTTATAAATATACACATAGACAACTCCAATGTGTTATATGGGGGTTATAATCTTATTCCACGATAGTGGTTACCTCTTGAGGAGAATGGATGAAGATGTTCACAGGTCAAGGGGCTCAATGACTATGAGATTTTATTTCTTAAAATGAAATGGCAAAATGATAAGATATGACAGAGCTGAGTGACATGTGCTTAGCAGTATATGTGAGTTTTTGTATCTTTATTCATAATCAAAATTCTTAGGAAAAGAAAAAGGGGTGCAGTGTATAAAAATGGAAGGAGATGGAAAGATTGAGAAGGTGGGCGCGAGTAGGGTGAGCAAAAGCAGTCTGAGTGTCTGCGCTGAAGGTCCCCCAATCTGGGCTGGGTCATCCTCCCATTCTGGGCCATGGCTATTGTCCTGGCCAGGAAGTCACATACAGGAGAGTCATCCACGGCCTCGGGAAAATCTGGAAGAGTTCCCATCCCTAGCAAGGAGATAGGTCACTAGGCAAATCAGCCTCTCCACCCTCAGTCACCTTCACGGCCACCATATTAACGTGAACGTGAGCATAGTCTTCCCCAGGAAAAGCCCTTGACCTTCTCTGGCCAGACTGTCCCTCCTGAACACCTGGTGTTTGTCCTGGTATCAATGACTGGATTTGAGATGTTTCCCAAATTTTCCCAGACACATTTGTGTTTATTTGTGTTTTTGATACCTGTAGATGTTTGTTCACATCTTTTATGCTCTTAATACTCTTCATCTTTAAGGACAGGGAGAGATAACCTGCCATCCACAAAGCGGGGGAGGCAGTTTTAAGCTTTCTCCCATTAAAGACAACTGCAGTTTCTACAGGAGTGCTTTAATCAAAATTGGTGTTGCAATCAACACTTCTCCAAATCCACTTACACAACCCCAGGCCCACCACATCCCTGCAGCCGTCTAGAATTCCTACCAGACAGGGAAGGGGCTGCTTAAGCATCCGGCAGGTGCACACCATTCTTCACTACCCTATCTATCTACCCAGGATGTGTGGGGACACTTGGGAAGGTCCACGGGGCCAACCGGCTCGTGCTCTTACTTGTAAGACGGGACATCAGAGGGCAGGCCACCAAATTCGTGAGATAGTAGTTCTACCAAAAACGCAGTATCTGTATCATTTCCAGAAAACCAAGTTGTGACGAAGGCCACAAACCAGGAGATAGACCCGGAAAAGCACTGGCCATCAGAGTCCATTCTGATAAAGCCAGGACATCAGTCTGTGCTTGTTACCTCCCACAAAGAGGTGGCGTGCTTGCCTTCCCATGCAGGGACAGACCAGGCTTCTGTGCACAACAGGAGAGAGGGAGGCAAGCCCGGGATTGGGTCTCTGGGTCCCCTCCCTCATTCTACTCAGCAACCTCTGTTCACCCCTCTCCGTCCCAGGTGAGCATTTGTGCATAATAAAGTAGGTGGGTGGAGACTGAACTGTTCACCTAGGTGATTTCCATGCCAGTTGGCATCAGGCCAAGGGCAAGAGCAGTGCTTAGGAAGACCCAGGTTCTCTTGTCTGAGATCATACCCAGGGCTCAGCCCGGGCAAGGCTGGGCGTGCCTTGTCCCAGGCTAGAGTGGGAATCTACACTAATTTGTACCACTTTGTAATCATTCTGGTAATCTCCCCATAGGCGGGAACCTCCTTTGAGGGGCAACACTGCCAGCGGCAGCTCTGTACACCTTCAAGGATGTCTGGTTGCAGCAACTGCCTGGTAGTTTGGCAGCACGGACAGTGCTGGGGGCACCAGCTTGGGGCTCAGAGAGACCCACCTTCACCCATGCCCCCACCCCGGTGGTTGTGTCCTGAACCTTGTTACTAATTGTGAGCCTTGCCACGAAGCAGAGTGATACTAGAAGACACTGCAAATAGACACAGACACCTGCCAGCCTGGAAAGGGGCCATTTCATTACCAGGAGCAGACCGGGATCTACA